CTTTTATTTCCAGAGATTTGTTCAGGATGTTGTTGGTATAGTATTTAAGGGTGATCAAAAGTTGTCGTACCAAAAAAGTATATTTTGTTCTGACTTTCTATATTTGCTGACTCTTCTGACCACAGGTTGTCCACAAAGAAACTTACACCTTAAGAAGGCATTGGTGCATAAACAGCAAACTTAGCAAAAGTCAGTCTCTGGGTCTGATACACACAGGGAATCAAAATTAACAAGCAAATAATCATTTTGTGTTTTCTACTGAAAGACTGAAGAATCTTGATTATAGTATTAATATAGGATTATAGTATAAACTGCATGTCAGTAGTGTCAGTAAAGACAATGTGTGTTAATACCTTCTGTATATGAAGATGCTTCATTGTACAGTATACAGCTGGTGCTATACAGAAATATACTCTTCCCTCTCACAAAGCTGTACTTCGAGTCTTGTAAAATAAATACATACATAAATATACGGACCTCCCCCGTGGACTGGAATGCTCACAATCTGTTTATTCCTGATCCCAGTTGATTCCGGGGGATGTTTGCAGTGCAGTTGATGACTGCCAGAGCCTGGGGATAATGAGGCCTTGGATAAAGACATGTGTAGAGAGGGATTGTAAGATTCTGCAGAAGACTTTTGGCAGGATCCTGTTGTCATAGACATGAGGCTTTCACGCCAACTTCAACCCCTCGGGCGCAGAGAGGACAGTGGGGGCTGGAGGGGAGTTAAATAGAGTCAATTTAGTGAATGGAAGAAGTAAAAGAAAAACAACAACAAAAATATATCTGAGAAGTTTGTGTGATTTACCCATGACTCCCTGCTGGAAACAGGAAGTGGTGATAACAGCATGTCAGTCAGGCGGTGAGTGGGAGGAGACAATATGCCAGCAGATGAGACGAGTTGACATCACTGAACAAACAGCATCAGAGTGAAAATAGAACACAGTGTTGGTTTTGGCTGTTTCACAAAGTGCAAACGAATTCCACTGAAAACTTTGGTCAGTGAAGGAGGCAGATGCTGCTCCAGAAACTTCTACATTGAAGCTGAAGCTAAAGTCTTTTAGAAGTTTGTCACATATTGAATTCATTTGATAGAAACGTCTTCACGTTACACTAGTGATTAATGGCTCAGTATTGTGTCCTCAGACAAAAATGTTTGTTTTTATTGACTTGAAACTCAGAGACAGTTTTACTTTTTTGAATTATTTGTCTTTTCGCAGCACATGTCAGATTTGCATTACTTTTAAAACCGGTTCGTGTTTTGTTGTGGTGTCGTGTTTGATGTGTGTTGTCTGTGGGCATTTGTACAAATCTCTGCTGTCAGTTCTGTCTCCTCGATATTGGACCACACTCTTGTTCGTGTTGCCCACTTCATTTTTCTTATTCGTAATTTAATATTTTCATGCATCCATGTATTTTTTTTCTTTTGCAAAATGAAAGGATATTTAGAAATTCAAAATCTCAAAAGCCGAGCATGAAAAGTATTTGATGTGAATGAAAAAGTGTGTTTTCAGTTTAAAAAAAAACATTATTGAAAAATGTTTTGGTTTAACTTTTACTTAAACACTTGTCTAATTTGTGTTCACCAGAGTACCAGTTTATATACATATGTATGTTTGAATTTCTTTATTTTATATTTAACTGTGGTTCTTGATTTGTATGTGTTTTTTAACTGTGGTCACTTTGGTTCTTTTCCTTTTCCATGTTTTTTATATTTAAATATAGTTCCACATGTGTCATATTTATTTTCTTCATATATATTCTGTCTCATTATCACTGAATGTGTTCGGGAAAGAAGGAGGTTCCTTTAGGTTCCTTGGGGGGGCTGTCCATCCTGCAGCAGCCCCTCAGGCTTTAAAACCTGTGGCTATTTTCTCCAATCCTTTTCTCCCATCGAATTATTCTGAAAGACAGGCAGGTGCAGAGCAGAGAATTAAAATAACCCACACTGAAGTCACACACGATTAAAAATTGTTCCCGGAGGAACACCTGAGTGAGGGTTCCAACCAGCCCACCATCAAACCCTTAGAAAACATTAGTTGTGCTTCACTGTGTCTTTCCTGTCACTTAGGAGCTGCTGAAAACAGGCTCGGAGGTTAGGTTTTCAATCCTCTAATTCAAACTTTTTTAGGGCAACATCTCATACAACAATATCGTAGAGATTGACCCCCATGTCTGTAGAAGTTAAAGACTGTGTTCATGGTCTACTGTAGTTTATAAGGTATTGTCGAGTGTATCAGAAACATACAGTTCTGTAGTGAAAGCACAATTCAGCACTCCTGTTTTCACTTGGCACTGCAGTTCACGGAGCCATTCATTAGCGCCTCTCATTCATCTTTCGACTGCAACCAGAGTGAATGATGATGGAGAGCCCTGATTGGCTGGAGACTTTCTGATTCTGCAGTCGCCCCAGTCTTTAATCAGCCTCTAATTGAAAACTTCTAATAAGTTCAGTTGAGTTCAGCAAAAGCTCTCCAGCTCTACTCTGTAGAAGCCGGTGTTTACGCTTTCTCCACAAACAAATCCCTGGGAAAATGGATCTTCACTCGCTTTTTCATCAAGCCTCAAATGAAGTGACATTAAATGCAAATCCAATGCACAGAAACGATTTGTATTTTTCATTCGGCTGCCCGTGTAATTAGTAGCAGTCCGTTCAAGAGTCACTGAGGAAATGAGGGGAAAATAAAAACAATGCATGCATATTGCATTTAGGAGTGTGTAGGCAGGGAGCGGCGTCGTTAATCACAGATCCATAAACACCGCTCATATTACTGTTAATCCACTTCAAAGCAGAGGGCATTTGTAATGAACAGTCGACTCCTGGAAAATATCCTGCTGGAAAAGATGCACAGAAAATAAACATGGCTTAATTATTAAGTAATAGAGTCTAAACATGAAGACTGAATTTCCTGAGCTAGCTGGCTTTAATTTTTTTTTAGGAGTCTAAACATGAAGACTGAATTTCTTGAGCTAGCTGGCTTTAATTTTTTTTTATCTAATGTTCTATTGGACGCTCTTTTTAAAGCTAACGATTCCCTCAGTGTTTGTAATATCACACATTCTGGAGTGATAGCTTTGAGGTGTTTGTGTTATATTGTTTCCTTTTCTAAGAGAGTGAAGTGTGTAAAAAAAAAAAGTTTGTTACCTTCGCGACGACACAAACGGCAGCTGATCGATCACCACTGCATTCTTTGGCTTCAAATTCAGTTACCTGCTGACGCCCCCACAGGTTCCCTCCCCTTCTGTTTACCCTCAGCAGATCTGTAAAACAAACACATGTGCGACAATTTATTCTGCGCTGCCATATGTGAAAGTGTGGGAGAGAGTGAGTGACAGAGGGACGGATGTACAATGCAGCCACTGTAAACTAGCGTTGATTTAAATAAAAAGTTGCCCCTTTGCACTGATGGAGGCAAAGCATAAGATAAAAGAGAAACAGAGATTGGACAAGAACATGTAATAGTAATAATTTGGACTTAACAGCAGATGTGATGCAACAGGCTGCCCCCTAAAGACGCCAAGTTTCATGTGAGGCTCGAACCCAGGACCTTCAGATATGAAACCATGACAGGAACATTTATGACTATGGATGCACTGATTCCAACATGGTACCGTGTGTATTATTAGTTTATAAAAACGAGGCAACAGTGCTCCCGGTGGTGTCCATCTGGTAAATATATATGAATCTCACTAATTAACCATTCAGTCCAAGTGAACATCCTGCCCTTCTCCAAATAAATGCCTATCAACCATTTCCCATCATGCCCTGTAAGCATCTGTCTAGACAGAATGAAAAAGGACACAGAGAAGCAGCAAATCCCAACTATCATAAGTCCAAATGAGTCTATTACCATAATTCCTTTCGGCTCCTCTGCTTTTTCATATCTCCGTGCTTCAGGGGCTGACGCTCACGGCCATTTCAACCCATCTCCATTATGCTCGGCTTGTCAGCGGCCAAGCCAAGCAGAACAAGGAAGGAAGGGAACAGCAGTCATAATGAGACGGAGGATAAAAAGCAGAGGATGTGGAGATGGCAGTGATGGGGCGAACAGATCTAAACTCTTCAGTGGCCTGAAATGAAGTGTCCTTTTCCTAGAGCGCTGGCTCCAATGAACAATTGTGAACATTAAGTGAGGAAAGTGACAATCAGAGGATTTTTCATCATTTCAATTGGCCAGCAACGGTGCAGAACAAAATGGAGCTGTGCTTCGCATCATTAGGACAAAAACTACAACAGGGACGGAGGAAAGTACGACCCCAGAGGAGAGGGGATTAGATTTAAACACTGATTTATAACAATTGTGTTTATCTCTTATTTAAATTCAACTTTACTCTTGTGAATTCTTCGTTGTCCTGTTCTATTTTCTCTGTATTCATTTTCAGCCATGGGAACACATGGATCAAACTCTTGTTTCCAGTCCACCAGTTCCACTCACTTCTCCTGTCATCACTTGCATTGGCACCAATGATCCGTCCAGTCCGTCTGGTCCGCAGCTCCACCAGGTGTGTCCAGTCCACCACAGGTCAGAGATCCTCAGTTGGTCCACCTGCTTCCTGTCTGACTGATTTCAGGCTGAGAAGCTGCCAAAAAAGGAGCAAAGCAGTGTTACTGTTTTCATACTGAGTTTCTTCCATCCTGTGATTGAACATTTACAAAATGTTTATCACAACAATAAAAATGTTTTTGTGTTTTTTTTTAATCAGGGGGCTGCATTAACAGTTTATGTCCAGTAGTAGGTGTCTCATTCAGAGGTGAATTAGTTAAATGATTAAAATCGGCCTCTTTTTGCAACTCTGAGAACCTTTTGCTGACCTGTTCCAGTCAGGTCCCAATCCAACAGAAGCGCTAGGGATCAATGTTTAAGAAAAAGAAGAAGAAAATAATTGAAGCTGCCAAAGTGAAAGTGAAAGCAAGTGTGAGTCTGGACTTCAAGCAGGTAGAGACAGGGTCAGACCAGGGTTAATGTCAGTCTGTCTTTTATATTACAGAAACACACGAACCAGTCCAGAGCTTCAAAGTAAGGTCAGCTGCTCAACGCTGGAATTGTAAGTAACTCGTTGGATACATTAATAAAATGTCTCCTCTCATCAGGGACCTGCGAGGATATGAAGAGTGCGTCCAGGCAGAAGCTCTTCTTCACATTCTGGTGTGAGCTAAGCTGCTTCAACTGTAGATATAAATGCCGTTTAAAGTACAAAAGAAGGATCAAAAACGTTGTCGTTCCAGGACTGGGTGATAGCGTAACAAGCGTTCTACATGTGAAGGTGGAACAGCAGTCATTTACAAAGACGCCTCAGTGTGCAGTAGGGACGGGCGCGGAAACTGTGTGAACGTGACAGTCTCTCATTGATCAGACCGGCGAGTGAGGCTAGGAGGCGAGAGGAAAGATAAACACAACAATGCAAATCAAATGATCACAGGAGGCACAGGCAACAACAGCTAGCAGGCTGCAGACACACAGCAGTGATCAGATGAGATCAGTGTGGCCTTTGTGTTGTGGAGAGACCAGCGCCGACTGAGAGTGAGATTCAAAACAAGATAAACACAACAATGCAAATCAAATGATCACAGGAGGCACAGGCAACAACAGCTAGCAGGCTGCAGACACACAGCAGTGATCAGATGAGATCAGTGTGGCCTTTGTGTTGTGGAGAGACCAGCGCCGACTGAGAGTGAGATTCAAAACACTCTCTTTTACAACTGCTTTCCATGGGCAGCAGACATGAAGGGTAGAACACCGTTTCACAACGCTGCCTGTAGCTCAGTGGGTACCGCAAGGGTCTTACAATGGGAGGGAGTTGTTGGTTTGATTCCAGACTTGATTAGGTAAAAACCTGTAGTATAAAGTACTTGGAGTATCTTGTCAATGAAGGGCCAAAAACTAACAGCAGGGGGTCGAATGCCATTAAACTGACATCCATTTGCAGGATGCATGTTGGTGGTTTGTGGGTCAAAAGTGGGCCACTGGCTGAGAGTTTGAGACACCTTAATATAAAATACTGTTCCTTAAGAATGTTATTTTCTAAAGTGACAGAGGAATTATTTTTACCTTCAAAGTAGCTGTCACAGCTGCTTTAGGAAAACACACAAATCGTTTTAAAATGTCAAAGCGTTATTTTTACACCTGGTGATTTTATTTACACATGCTAAGGCTAATTCAGTCATCGAAATAATATAGTATTACAGTACAATCATCAAGCTACAAACAAATACTACAACAAATACGTTATCCTGCATTTATCTTGAAATGTCTCGAAGGAAAATAAAATACTATATTTCTCTCCTTGGTGGTGTTTTTTAACAGAATAGGAACAGGAGGAGACGATCTGTGTTATTTTTTTATAAAATAAAAAAATTCAAGAGTCATGAAAGTCACGGAGAGAGATTTCTTTCCCTCCATGAACGAACACACACCAAGAGACAGCAACAGAAATTCAAGACTGAACAGAGAGACTCAGCATTGATGGTTGGACCTGAATAATGAATCAGTCAGAAGAAGACAATGTGGAGAGGCTGTGACTCATCATGGAAAAGTCTTTCTCGTCCCACAAAGTGAGACGTAGAAACAATTCAAAACCTTTTTAAAATTGTCTTTTGTCTGTTTCTAAATGACTGCTTTGCCCTCGGCCTCTGCTGTATCTCTGTCCATCAGCTCAACAGCAGTGAGCGCTTGTCAGGTTGTCTGCTACAAAAAGGCAAATATCAGAATAGAATATCAAGGCACTTAAATGGGACACAGTGTTGTCTCCAAACCAAAAGATTTTCAATTGGGCGTCAAATGACACCAACAAGGGTGTGTAAAAAACAGCTCTGACCATCCCACTCTGTGTCTGCTGCTCTGACAGCTGTGTGTGTTCCACTGGCCTCATTAACAGCATCTCTCTTCTCTACATTCACATCAGCCTCTACCTCCTCCTGTTGCCTTTTCTCTCTGTGACTAGTTCTCTGCCTGCCATCCTTTTTTTCCCCCTGCTGGTCGATCCACTGGCCTGACTGGCAGGTAATTACCAGCCAGGTGACAGCAGCCTATTCCAAGAGTTGAGAGGTCATCAAGATTTATTTTAATTTTTTTATTTTTTTGCAGGACTAGCTGAAGTTCTCCAAACTAGATTATTTCTCGTGTGACGGCAGCAACAGCAGCATTAGCAGCATTAGCAGCAACAGCAGCATTAGCAGCAGCAACAGCAGCATTATCAGCAGCGTCAGCAGGCGGTGACGGAGCAGGCGTGTTAGTTCAGCTGTCGTGCGTGGTGTTGTCAGTGGTGCTTGCAGACACGTCCTCTCAAGCCATCTTCGATTCTGTGTCTGAGAAGCAGGCAGGGGACGGGGCTTGTTTTCTGTCTAACTGCTGTTATTATAGCAGGGCAGACAAGATGTCTTTGACTCAGGAGAATGTCAGGTTGTAAAAAACAACAACAACAAAAAAGCAGGAAACTCATTATTATTATTATTTTTAAATACGAGAGTTTGGAGGAGGCTGATTTTTCAGATTTCTTTCATTAAATTTCTTCTGGTGAGTTAAGTCAGCAGACCTGGAATTTCTAGTTGAACAACATCTAACTGAAATAAAGGTGAGATTATGTCAAAAACACAGTAAAAATAGCCTGAGGCGAACAATAGGAGTGACAGTATTATATAGTATTTATATATGTTAATATAAATATTATATAAACCATCACTCTCCATGGTCATCATCTCTTTGAGACACTTCCCTCTAGAACCTCCGCCACAGGAACAGTTTCTTCCCCTTTGCTGTCAGTACTGTCAACCAGCTCAGCGCCCCCTGGCCTTCACATGAAAAACAATCCATCATAAATCCACCAAACAGCTTACGCTGAATTTACGAAAACCAACCAGTACTTATACCATGTTGTAGGGTCAATTATTATTTAAGAAATTGGTAAAATTCCAAAATTAATTTTCCCAAATTAAAGACAAAAGAAAAGCATGTTCACATGCAGTCACAGCGCCAACTACAGGGGAGAAAATTAAGTAGCACGTTGCCTATTTACTAACAGACTGAGACTGAAAACTGTGTCTTTAAAACCACTTTTATCGACCTCAGTCGTCCGTGTTGTGTATCTGGCACTGATATAAACATTATGGCAAAAATCAGGCCTTCGACTGTTCACTGCAGCAAATTGTGAATGGCTCGGGAGTGATCTCTGGTTAATGTGTGGTTTAAATGGTCCGTGTTCGCTCCTTGTTCTGTTGCCTAACAACAGAAAGTCATGTAGACGAGAGCAGCCGGTTGCTGTGTATAAGAGCAGGAGAGATGCAGATGGATAAGTAGCACAAACCAATAAGTATTTTCCATTAAAGGAGGACGGTTTCAATTATGTCCTTAATTTCACACTTTGCTGATGCAACTCTAATGGAGCACAAACATGAAACATATTCTCGGAGCCTAAACAAAGCAGGCAGCAACTGGATTTTGTTTACTGACTTTTTAATTTGTACAACGATTGTGTTTTGAATTAAACATTTTGTATCTTTCATGTCCCGACGCCTCGTTCTTCCCTCCCACCGTAATGGCCGCCATTCCTCCTCAGCCTCGTCTTCCTGCCCTTTCATCTTTCTAAGTGGTGTAATTGTCTGTGATCTGGTCAGCTCTCTGCAGCGAGCTCCCACTTGATCGCCTTCGCCGAATTAACACATTAAACACCACCCTGCCCCTAGGTCTGTGTGTTCAAAGCAAAACTCCATTAGTGCTCCATTAGCGTTAGCTTCCTAGCACCGACAATGCGACAAAGGGACAAAAAAAAAGAAAAAAAGAAAACAAGACCAACCTTTTGGAAAAAAAAGAAAACTAGACCAACCTTTTGAATTTTGGCTGCTCAGGGTTATTTTAGTGAAACTGAATAGAAGACATTGTTTTAAACTTTGTGTAAACATAGGGACAGGACATTTAAAAAAAGAATGAGGTGAAAACACACAACCCCCCCATCTGGTGGCGCCTGTCAGAGTGACGCCCTTGTGCTATTTTCAGAACAAGCAAAAGTTGTGACTCTAATTTTTACTCGGCGTACTGTTATTGCGCATTGAGAGCAGGGTTACATAAGGCTCGGCCGCCTTTATTTAGCCCCAGAAGGCTCTCATTTGAGGTGCAGCTCAAGCGATGCAGGGGCCCTGAATGACGCACGGAGACACAAAAGCGGTGGAAAGGTTTCCCACCATGACCGCCACTTAGGGCATAAACAGTCGCCACCATGTTGGATACATGGCTGAGTCACAGACTCCGCTTCATGTATGACAGCGGCGTCCACTTAGCTGCGGCTCCTGTCCTGCCCTCTCCTGGGAACAAGATGATGTCGCTTATTTTAAGAACCGGACACTTAAACAAGGGTTCAGAGAAAAGTACAACCACTGTCAGAGATAAAACCGTGACGCTGCTCATGTTCAGCAGCCCGACAGTCCTGCAGACACACACGTGAGGGTGTGGTGGGAGCCGAGGCCTCCACTTCCACAGACCAACCACCACAGAACATTCTGGGAAGTGCTGACGGACTGTTCCTGGCCACAGCCACCCCGCTGTCATGCACAGCCATCATTTACCAACAAGATGTTGCTTTTTGCACCA